AGGATCCTAAATATGAGCCACAAAAAAGAACTACTATGGAGCCTAGGGGTACTTGCAGCGTCTCTGATTTCACGCAGTTTATGTCGTCGAAAGCTAGCGAATTCACCATCGCAGGCGCTGTCATGCAAAGGTTCCAGCTTAAACAGGGAGCGAGAACCCGTAAGTTAGGCAGTTCCGCAGCACCTACTGGTAGCAGATTTTGGTTGTGGCCACCTGCGGCATGTGCAGCAACAACCACCCGCGGTGGATTCAAACGAAACCGAATGAACTTAAAACCCTAAAACCTAAGAGAGGACCCTTCTAGCAATCGGTTGCGGGGTTTGGGAGTATGTCCGGGCGGTTTGCAGGCCTTCCCGCTCATAGCAGGTCCCTGAAGCCCCTCGGCTTTTTTTAGAGCTATTTTTAGAGCTGCTCTGTCCGAAGTATTGGGTTAGCCTGCTTCAACCGCCAAGACTGCGGAGAGTCAGTACCTGAAACTATAATAATACCCTAATTTATAAGCTTAATAGCATTTATCAACAAAGCCTAACATATGGAATTTATAGGGACCCGACAAAACACTAGGTTTTGGTAGTCTAAGGTAAACCCTAAGCCTCACTCCTCCTTGGGGGATGAACCGCTGGTTACCCAGGCGGACGCGCCCGCAGGGAACATGGGCTGCGGCGCGAGTACGCAGGCGTCTTCATTGAGGGAGTTTGATGTCGTTTAAGACCTGCTCGATTTAAGTAAGGATCCTTCCAGATTTCAGCATCTTCGGGTGTTCATGGTTTTTACAGATGTCCCCCGCGCATTAAGTACACGAGGCTGCGCCGAGCACGATTGGAGGCACCTAACCTGGTTCATAGTAGGACGATCAGGGTCCGGAACATGGGTCCTACTCTGCGTGCTATATGGTCCCCTACAATCTGTAGGGTTTCAGCACCATCTGCATATTGAGTACCCATAGGGTTCAATGCTCCGTAGCTGTGCAGTAGACTACACCAGCTACATTGAGGGTCACTCTCTAAGGTTCCAAATTTGTGCGTCTTGCCTTGTAAACCGTATTGAGGATCTGAATCTTGCTTCAACTTGATATGTATTCCGCCACTTTCAGTGTAGAAGTAATGCGGATTCGGGCAGTGCCCAGACCTGTCATAGTCTTGGGAAGGCAGTTTAATCAAGATGCCTTTTGATTGCATAGCAACAGTCCGGTAATCATACCATGGAGCCTGTATTGGGTTTGACAAAGTTGGGGGTCGGTGTTCCAGGATCTGCACTTCTCGCCATAGGCTTCCCTGCGCGTAGACCTAGGGATTGAATGAATCCCGATGAACCCTTAACCCTAAACCTTGAATGCTAAACCTTGAATGCTAAACCCTAATTCTTAAACCCTAAATCTCAAAGCCTAAACCTTGAACCTTAAATGCTAAACCTTGAACCCTAAACCCTAAACCTTAAACCTAAATCTTAAACCCTAGATCTTACACCCCAAACCTTAAATGCTACACCTTGAACCCTAATCCCTAAACCTTAAACCCTAAATCTGAAACCCTAAATCCTAAACCCTAAACCTTAAACCCTAAATCTTAAACCCTACATCTTAAATAAACCCTAAACCTTAAACCCTAAATCTTAAACTTAAGCCCTAAAGCTTAAACCCCTGAAGCTGCAAATCCCTGAAACCCTCCAACCTCGGTCTCCGCGTCGCAGACGAAGAACGGAACACAAAAGCAGACACCGCCACTTCGGCTTGTTTCCGGTCTTTTGAGGGTTTAGGGTTTTTTGGCATGTAGGCCTTCAGTTTGTCAGGCTTTTTCGAGAATTTTTGGGGTTCAGGGGCTCGGTTTAGAAAATCTAGGGGCTTTGGTGGTTTGGGCTGAAGTGGTTGAGGGTATAACTCTAAGCCCAGTGTGGTCTTTCATTTATGGCTTGAAGCATGTCAATGCTTCTCTTCAATTCTGGGCTGATCCTGATTTGCTAGGGTTTAGGGTTTAGGGTTTAGGGTTTAGGGTTAGGTGCTGATTCAAGGCCTTCGTCCCTGTTGAGAAATCGGAGTTGAGCTGTTTGGGGTTTCAGGTTTGTCACTGTGGCATTCACATTCACACCATTATTGTAGAACACGCATACAACGTGTAACACCCGTATAAAACCAGTTTGGAGTTTAGCTTATGAGGGATTTGATGTACAATGGTTCTGTAGCAGAGTGAGGAAGGCAGTGGCGCTGCGAAGCGTGAGGCTGCCTTCGGTGACAAAATACCTATCGGTTAATGTGAAAGATGACGACATATGGGTAGTTCTCGAAATTAGGTTCCTTTCCGGATCCTTTATAGAAGGGTGCCGTACTAGACCCTGATTGCGAAGAAGATCATCGCTACTCGAGTCCATGATTTGACACGAAAGTATAGACCTCATCATACTTTCAAGCCCTTAAAACCCGAAACCCTAAACGGCCGGCACGTGTCATTCCTCCGCTCTGTTACGGAATTTGTCGCCCATCAGCCGATCCATCTGGGGATATTACGGAGTTAGGGTTTAGGGTTTAGGAATTAGGGTTATGTATGACTCCCAGTCAACAATGGTGGGCATAGGTTTGGGGTTCGACGATGGAGGGACCAGAAATCAATAAAAACCCGAACGCGATTTGTGTTGTGTCCCCTTTCTTGGTTTTCGCACTCACGAAGGTTTAGGGTTTAGGTTTACATCAGGGTTGAGGGTGTAGGGTCTAGGATGTAGGGAAACCCCTGCAGGGTGAAAATAACCCTAAACCCTAAACCCTAAACCCTAAACCGAAAACCTCAAGTCCCAGAGCCTGCAAGCCCTAAGTCCAAACACCGCGAAGGCCGGATCCCCAAGAGTTTAGGGATTTCTGGGGTTTAGGGTTTAGGGTTTAGGGTTTAGGGATTTAAAGTTTTGGGGTTCAGGGTTTTGGGGTTTAGAGTTTAGGGGTTTAGGGTTTAGGGGTTTAGGGTTTTAGAGTTGAGGGGTTTAGGGGTTTAGGGATTTAGAGTTCAGGTAGGGGTTTAGGCTTTTAGAGTCTAAGGGTTTAGGGTTTAGGGCTTGGGGGTGAATTCCAAGCCCAATAGTCTTTGATAAACCCTAAGTCTAGGACATTTTCAGGTGGGTAGTTACCGTTATAGGAGCCTTATAGAAGGTGTATATACCTTATAGAAGCCTTATAGAAGCCCTATATACCCAAAACTCCCCACCTGTAGTTTCCTTTAACCAAGCTCGTCAAAGTAGTGGGAGCGCTCCGGAAGTCGGGCATCAAGACATGTTCAGGACGAACCCTTAAAGGAACCTCCAAAGAACCCTTAAAGGGTTTAGGGTTTAGGGGTTTAGGGTTTTAAGTCTAAGGGAACTCATATTCAAGGAGCCCTTCCAGGATCATTCTCACCACAAGCTTCGGATGGCCGAGGGGCGTGTCCCACAGCTTCTGCCCTGAAGCGTCATGCCTTGACTTGGCATGCCTTTGGGTTTAGGGTTTAGGGGTTTAGGGGTATAGGGTTCAGGGTCTGAACGAAGACTGCCACTGCAACAGGCTCTTTTGGAGGGCACTTGAAGCCACGGGATTTAACAGGTGGGTTACACGTCGGATTGTAAGTGGGCAAACTGTGGAAAGGGTACTATAGAAGCCTAAATAATTACCCATATTTATTCCTTCGGCTCCTTATGACAGTTAAAAGGAGCCCCACACCATATTCTAATTGTTAAGGCCCCTTCATTGCCCATACCCTACCTACTAAGTCCCCTGAA